AGAGGAGGGAAGACAAACCCAACATCTTGCCCTGGTGCCCAGGAGTCTCCCAGGACAGGCAGTGCCCAGCAGGAAGGATGGCCCCAGCCAGTGTGACGCTGCCAGGTTCCCTGCTAATCATAGCACAGGCAGCTGCAAAGGTCAGCAGGGAGCAGCCAGAATACTGGCTTAAGGAAGGGCTCAGGTCAGCACAGGATTACAGGCACAGGAGATTCACTCCTGTCTAGCTCTGGCTGCAGGCAGAGGAACATCTTGGTCACTAAGGACCCAAGAACAGGTGGATAGATGGATGGATGGGTGGGTGGACAGACTGGAGGCTGCTTCTTGGCTTGCTCACCTCCACTTTTTGGCAGGCCAAGCCCAGCTCGGTGCCAACACGTTCCAGAAACTGGACAGCCGCATCTGGGGAAGAGTGGGATGCCCATGGTTACACTGGGGTCTCTCATTGCAAACCCTCAGGGACCCCAAGGCTCTGTGGGGTTCCCAGACTAAGGAAAGAGGTAACAAAAAAGGACAGGTGCTGCAGGTCCTGGACACAAGAAGTGGCCATGAACAGGGACAGGAGCAGCTCATCACCATCCCTTTGGGGTGAGGACTTGGGAAATATAAAAGAATAAAAATGGAAGGGGGTGAGTTCAGGGGGAATGTTTCTCCAGTGAAGTTTAGGGAGCTCCTCACCAATAAAATGCACTTTAGTGGGAAGACATAAATGTTAACATTAGGAGATCTAATGAAGGAGAAGGAGATCACCCATCCCAAGGCTGCACGGAAAGGGGAGCAAGGGGCACTGGGCTAGAAGAAGCAAACAGTAGCTCTGAGGGCACTTGAGATGTCCCTGCCCCAGCCAAAGGCACCAGCAGAGATAAGGCACAAAGGAGTTCGCTCCTTAACACCACGATCAAAACAGCCCCAGAACAGGACTTGGGCACCTGGGTCCAAAGATCAGAGCTGCACTACCCAGTCCCCACATGGCTCCCCGTCCTTTCCCCCATCCTCACCATAGTCAGGTTTAGGGTGGACAGTGTCAATCCTCAGGTACTCCCGGAAAAGCGTAACTGAGGGGTTCTCTGAGGCCCCCGTGCTCTTCCCAGGCTTCCCAGGTGCCATATCTGGGACCAGGGCTGCAAAGCTCTGGGGAAAGAGCTGCAAGATGGTTAATGACCCACCAGCCCCTCCAAAGTCCGCCTGCATGCTTGGTCGTCACAGAAACCAAAGGGAGATGGGGCAAAGGTCTCCCCCATGCGACTCCTGGGACACTGCCACCATGGCAGAAATCCCCCCCACTTGGGCACAGGGCAGGATGGGGTGTGCCCCCCACACTGTCCTGTCATTCTTCCCCCAAAACACATGTTCCTGCCCCAAACACAGTGCCAGGACAGGCTATGGTGCCCAGGCAAGGGGTGAAATCCAGGGAAGGGCTAGCTGGGAGGAAAGGGGGGCAGCTAGGTGGGGGAGTATGAAGAAGGGTAAAGGGGAAGAAGGATATGTTGGGTAGGAAAACATGGTAGTTGGGATTATCCAGGGGTTAGAGGTTTGTGGGAATGCTGGGCGATGCAGGCAGAGAAGGCAGGAAGCTGGTGAAGGGGGTGCAGGTGGGGAAAGGGGGCTACTGCCTGGCTAGGGGGTGCAGGAGAGCTGCAAGGAAAGGCTCTGGGGGTACAGGGAAATGGGATTGGTGAAGGGGGATTGAGTGTTAACAGAGAATAGAGGTACTGGGGGACCACATTAGGGTGACAGGCTGCTGTTGAGGGAAGCTGGGTGGCTGGAGGAGCAGGAGGATGTGGGGTGCTTAGGAGCACATGGGGGTTCAGCAGGAGGGGTGAATGGGGGTATGGGAGCAGGGGGTGCAGAGAGGCTATGAGGGGTGCAGTGGGACTGCGGTTAGGGGGGCAGGGGTACGGTGGTTAGGGGTGCACAGTGCGGTACAGGGGTGCAGGCAGGGGGCACAGTGGGGTGCAGGGGTACCATGGCTGGGGTGCAGGCAGGGGGCACAGTGGGGTGCAGGGGTACCATGGCTGGGGTGCAGGCAGGGGGCACAGTGGGGTGCGCTGGGTGGCTGGAGGAGCAGGAGGATGTGGGGTGCTTAGGAGCACATGGGGGTTCAGCAGGAGGGGTGAATGGGGGTATGGGAGCAGGGGGTGCAGAGAGGCTATGAGGGGTGCAGTGGGACTGCGGTTAGGGGGGCAGGGGTACGGTGGTTAGGGGTGCACAGTGCGGTACAGGGGTGCAGGCAGGGGGCACAGTGGGGTACAGGGGTACCATGGCTGGGGTGCAGGCACACCATGGATAGGGTCGAGGGCAGCGCAGGGGGCACTGTGGAGCTGCAGGGGTACCGTGGCCAGGGGGGTACGGGGTGCAGCAGAGGGCAGGCAGGACACCATGGTTAGGGCTGCAGCAGCTGCGTTCCTGGGGTGCAGGCGTAGCATGGGCAGAAGGGCAGAGGGTGCTGGATAGTGCGGTTGGGGGTGCAGAGGGTGCAAGATACCATGGCTAGGGGTGCAGAACAGTGCGGTAAGGGAGCGCAGGACAGTAGAGGAGGGGTGCAAGGGCAGGGGTGCAGGGTACCTCGGACCAGGTTAAAGGGGGGCGAAGGCACCGGGGCACCCACCCGCGGGCCGCCGGGCGCTGCTGCCCGGCCCCGCTGCTCGGCCCCCCGCCGCCCCGGCCCTACCTCAGCGCCGCCGCCGCTTCCCGCCCGGCCCCGCTCCGCCCGCTCCGCCCCGGCAGCAGCGGGCAGGAGGCGGGCCGGGGCGGGCCGGGGCGGGCCGGGGAGGAGCGGGGCGCAAGCGAGGGGCACACGGCACCCTCCTGGCCCCACACAGGCTGCAGGGAGATGGGGCTGGAGCTCGAGGGGCCCCGCGGCGCTTGGGGACACACGCAGAAAGCAGAGCAGCATCAGTTTATTGGCCTCGTGACAGATGACACCCTGTCCTGCCAGCAAGGGACACCTCCGGTCCCACACCCCCGCCATCCTGGGGATACCCCAGGAGGAAACAGCATCCCTCATGCCAGCTGTCTGTGCCTCCCAGCCCCCCGGACGCCCCAGCCCCTCGGCTTGGCAGGGAAGAGGCGGTGCTCACTTCAGCTGGTGCAGGAAGCCCAGCAGGGCCCGGTGGAAGTCCTCTGGCTTGTCCAGGTAGCAGGCATGGCCAGCACCAGACAGCACGGCCACACGGTGATTAGGGAGGTGCTGGAGGTTCTGCAGGGCCTGGGGAGCCAGGCCAGTGTCATGGTCACCATACAGGATCAGGGTGGGTGTCTTGGTAAGGGGACAGAGAAAACAAGAGCAGCTGTCAGAGGGGTAAATGGCCACCACACTCCCCTGGGGCTGTGCCCACCTCCCTCCATCACCACGGGGGGCTGCAAAGCTGAGGGGAGGCAGGTGCCAGCACCCCCATGAGCTGGGGGTCACAGGTTCCCCTCACTCACCCCAAAATAGTGCCACCCTGCACATCACCCTGCAGCCAGCTGGCCCACGAGGCTTGCCAATAGCCAGGACAGTCCCCAAGAGCCCAAAGACCCACCTGGACTCGCCGGTACTGCTCAGCAGTGTAGTCCTTGGTGCCCACGGGTGCGATGGGCACAAAGCCGGCCAGCCGGTCCCCGTGCGCCAGGACGAAGGGCAGGGCAAAGCGGCCGCTCATGGAGGGGCTGATGAGGACAGGCCTCTGCATGCCCAGCTCCTGGAGAACACGGTCCAGGAAAGCCTTGCGGCCCTGTGCTGTCAGCGCCATCTCCACTGGGGGTGAATCCCCGTAGCCTGGTATGGGGAAGAGGGCATAGGGTGGTCAGGGGGCATTGTGCAGCCTGCAGTGGTCTCTCCTCACCAGGGTTCAATGGCCTGGCAAAAAATGGACCCTTGATCAAGCCCCAGGGTTGTACAGTCGCAGCCATCAATGCCCCAGGACACAGACAAACCCCAGGCACGCTGCCCCAGGGATCACCAGCAGCTACCCAGAGCCCTCCCTGAAGAGATCCAGAACCCAGCAGTGACTAAGGCAAGGGCTGGAGCTGCCCTAAGAGATCAGCTAAGCACAGTGCCATGCTCCTACCGGGCAGATCTATTGCGACCGCACGGTACCCTTCTCCAGCAAGCAGCGCCAGTGTGCCCAAGGCCTCCCACGTCATGGAGGTGAACGCCTGGCCGTGCAGGAGCAGGACATCAGGCCTGCGGGGGAAGACAGGCGGGAAGGGGTTCAGGAACGGTGCCGTGCCCCCAGCGACCACGGGGGCTGGTGAAGACCGGCCCCAGGCCTGCCGCCCCCACTGCCGGCGGGCTGACCCACCTCCCGGAGCCCACAGCTGCTGCGGGAACCTCCCTGTAGAACACGGGGGGCTCTTCCGCAGCCATCCCCGTCCGCACCGTGCCGTTGGCCGCCCGCCAACCCCACTTCCCCTCGTCAGGCCGTGAGCGCCGGGCAGCCGGCAGCAAGAGGTACAGGAGGAAAGTGAGGAGCGCCCCGAGGAGCAGCAGCCCCAGGCGGCTGCGGGCAAGCAGCATCTCCGCTCGCGCTGGAGGAGAGCGGCAGCGCAGGGCTGCGGGACCCCAGCCCCGCTGCTGCGGGGAAACAGGTCCCGGTCCCCGCTGCTCTGCTCAGCTCCGGCCCAGCCCGAGCCCCCACCCGGCCCCGGCCCCGGCCCCGCTCGGCCCCGGCCCCGCCGCCCCCGGCCCGCCGCGCACGGCGCCGCTGCGCCCTCGGGCCCCGCCTGGCGGCAGCCCGCGGCACTACAGCCCCGAAGGACAGAACGGGCGGGGCCCGCAGCGGAGCCCCGGCTCGGGCGATCGGCCGGGGCTCGGCCAAGCTTGGCAGAGCTCGGCAGAACTCGGCTATGTTCGTCAAGGGCTCGGCGGCTCTCGCCACAGTTCGGGCAGCGCTCGGGCTGGGCTCAGTACTGCAGGGCAAAGCTCGGGTTCTGGTCGACAGCGCTCGGCCTGGCTCGGTAGAGTTCGGGTAGGGCTCGGTTTTGCTCGGCAATGCTCGGCTCTGCTCGGGAAAGCTCGGCTTCGCTTGGCAGGGCAGGGGTTCCCGGGGCCGCCCCGGACCTTGCGCTCCATGACGCGGTGCCGCCGTTCTCTCGCCCGCCCCGCCGGTCTTTGGCCCCGGGGCGCGGCACCCCCAGTCCCGTGGTGCGGCGGGGAGGAGGCGAGCGGCGGCCGGCCCCGTGTGCGGAGCAGCAGGTAAGGCTGCAGGCCCAGCGATGGACGGGGAAACTGAGGCAGGGGCGGGCCCGTCAGGCCGCCTGGCACATCAGTGACCCCGGTGGTGCCACCACAGCGAAGATGGTGCCGGTGTGACCCTCATAGCCCTCTTGCCATCACCGGGCCTGGACAGGGCAGAAGGCCCATCAGCCCTCCCGCTCCCACCTCTCACCCCACTTAACAGCCCCCCGGCCCCCAGGCATGGCCACCCCGCGGGTCACCGAGAGCACCGTCACGGTGCAAGGACAGACCCTCTTCTACCGCCAAGCTGACCCAGCCCAGGCAGTGCCGAAGCTGACAGTGCTGCTGCTGCATGGCATCCGCTTCTCCTCCGAAACCTGGCTGCAGGTGGGGACACTCGCCACGCTGGCCGAGAACGGCTACCGAGCCGTGGCCATCGACCTGCCGGGTAAGGTGTGGTGAGCACAGCCCTAGAGACAGGCGGGGTAGCCACCGGTTCGTGGTGCAGGATGGCAACCCCGGTGTCCTGCTGTGTTGTGCTGTGCTGTGCTGGCTTCTCCGTGTCATTCAGGCGGCGTGGAGCCTGACAAGGCCACTTGTGTGTCACGATTCAGGGCTGGGGCGCTCAAAGGATGCTGTGGCCCCAGCACCCGTGGGCCAGCCAGCACCAGCGGCGTTCCTGAAGGCAGTTTCAGAGGCTCTGGACCTGGGTCCGGCTGTGGTGATCAGCCCATCGCTCAGTGGCATGTACTCGCTGCCCTTCCTCTTAGAGCACAGCCAGCTCTTCAAGGCCTATGTACCTGTGGCACCCATCTGCACTGAGAAATTCACAGCGGAGCAGTATGCCCAGATCAAAGTACGGCCTGGAAGGGCACTGGGGAGGTCGGGGAACTGGGAGGGAATGGTGCAGAGGGGACCCTGGCACCGGGGTTGAGCAGGGGAAAGGCCAAACAGGCCAGAAACGCTGTTGCCATTGAAAGAGGAGAACCTGATGATGAAGGAATGTAAATGTGGGGTAATGGGAGGTAAAGAAGGGACAACTGGAGACCCAGGAGTCTGAGCTTCACTTTCCCTTTGTCATGCTAGATAGGGGAGAAGGGCAAGTGACTCCCCTCCAGGGTGTCCCTGGCAAGGAGGAGCAAGTGCCTGTGTGACACCTGCAGGCTCAGGGTGCTTTCCCCCTCTACAGACCCCCACGCTGATCGTGTACGGGGACCAGGATGCGGAGCTGGGGCAGACCAGTCTGAACAACCTGCGGCACCTCCCTGAGCACCAGGTGCTGATGCTGCAGGGTGCAGGACACGCCTGCTACCTGGACAAGCCCAATGAGTGGCACCGTGGACTCCTGGCCTTCCTGCAGCAGCTGAAGTGAGCAGGATGGGACCACAGAGCAGGAGGATGTGGCCAGCCCACCCACCCCTCTGCCTGCACATGCACCCTTGTGCCAACCCAGGTGCTTGGCTGGCACTCACACTGCACTGGCCCACACCAGCACCCACCTCTCCTGAGACCAAATAAAACCCCAAGCTCTGCCACTGCTTTCCTGCCACCTTCCTACTTCTCTTCCACCTTTCCCACCTCCTTCCCCCGTTCCTACCTCCATGGCTGCTGTCCCACACAGGTTTGGGGGGTGACAGCAGGGAAGATGGAGCCACTGAGGGATGGTACATTTGGGGATTGTGGATGGGTGAGTGCCAGCCTTGCTGGAGCCCACCCATCACTTCTGATGGGACCCCCATGAACATCACAAGGTGCCCAGGGAGCCATGTGGCTGTGTTCTGGGACAGGTAGGTCCCCCAAGGTAGTGACATCCATGTCCCTAGCCGGCCAGCCTCCTCTTCATCCTCCTCTTCCTCCTCCTACCCCTCCTGGCATGCGCCCAAGTCCAGGGTAATCCACAGGGGCTTAAAAGGGAGCTGCCAGCCCTGGGAGGCTCCTGCCCACGGCAGCATCCGCCCAGCACCCTGGGGAAGTGGGGAGCGATTTACCCAAAGAGTGGCTGCCATGAACAGATGAGGGGGTGGGCAGGGAGGCCTGACAGCAGGGGACAAGACCCCTGCCTGCCACCTGCCTGCTCTGCCTTTGGTGCTGCTGCACGGGCACTCGGGGGCACAGATGGAGCCAGCAGCAGGGTGCCCCCCCAGTGCCCCCCCTTCCCCAAGCTTGCCTGGGCTTTAGCTGCTTACGCCAGGGCCCAGGAGGATTTAGTGGGGGAGGTAAGGGGAGGGGAGGGCACTTTTCTGTGGGTGCAGGATGCCCGTGTGGGGGACACAAGGCAGTGCCAGGGGTGCAGGAGCTGGTCTCCGCCCTGGCAGTCTGGTAGGACCCCTGTGTGGAGCATCCCTGACCCCCCAGGTGGCTCAGGTCCCCTGTTGCACTCCCAACCCCCCATACACGGGTGCTCCTGCCCCTCCAGGCACCGCCTCTCAGCAGCAGCCCGGGGTGCCAGCGGGCCTTGGGGTGCCAGCTGCCCCATCCCTGCCCGCTCCGGTGTCCTTGAGCCCTCGAGCCCTGCCAGCTGATCGGCTTCCAGGAAAAAAAACCACGCAATTACAAAGAGGGGCGATGTGTGAGCCAAAGGGAGGGGGGCCGGGGGGGCCAGGAATGTCCCCAGCGGTGGCAGATGGCCTTACCCAGGGTGCATTGTTCCTTTTAGTGTCTCTTATCCGCTGTAATAGGATCCCGGAGGGAGGGATGTGGGAGAGGGGAAGAGCGAGGGGGGCCCCAGCGTGGACCGGGGTGGGGGCCGGGGCTGCCAGCTTGGCCCTGGCCTGTCAAGCGGCTCATTGTTCCTGCCCCGGGTGTCACTGGGCGCCGCCGGGGACAATGTGGCACTGAGAGGGGCGGCCGGCGGTGGAGGGACGAGGCGCACGGAAAGGTACCCGCCAGGCCCCACTCCCGCGGGGACCAGGGGGCTCGGGGCAGCCGGGAGGGCGAGAAGAGAGAGGTTTCCCCGGGGACGGGGTGGGGGCTTCCTCCTGTCGTCCCCCCTCCTTTGTCACCCGAAGGTGCCCCGAAGGACGGGCGGCGCCCAGCTTGGTGGCTGTGCCAGTGCCAGCCATGGCAGGTGGCCCGTGCCCATCACCGGGGCCTTTGGCGTCCCTGCCAGCCTGGCTCACCTGGGGGAGAGCCCCCCTGCCCGCAGACCCCCCAGGCGTTGTCTGTGGCAGTGGGGGGACACCCGTGGCCCTGCTGCGTTCCCCCATCCCATCGCCAGCCTCATCCCTCTTCCCCCGGCGGGGTCTTTGTCCCTGGCGGATTCCCGCTGCCATTCATCCCCAGGGGGACCGGGGACCCTGGCCGGCTGCGCGTCCCTGCCGGCACCCCACACATCTCCGGATGCCGCGGGCAGGGTGCATCCCTCCCTCCCCCTCAGCCCCACTTCAGGCTCCCCTGCACCGGGATCGGGAATATTCCCCCTCTCCAGTCTCTCCACCTTTCTCCAGCCCGCGGTAACAGGGGGGTGGAGACGGGGCGTTCAATCCGCGCCGGGGTGGGAGGCATAGCACCTAGGGGCTGCGCCCCCGCCCCCCGTTTCCCTGATGCAGGAGATGTGCTGTAGCGGTGACGAGTCCTGCCAGCACCTAAAATAGCCGCCCCCCCCGCCATGCCCGCGGCCGCGGCCCCAGCCTCAACACGGGTGCTTTGTTTCAAAGCTGCTTGGCATCGCCCGGCTTGCCGGGAGCCAGCGGTGCCGCAGCCGCCCACCCGGGCCTGGACACACAGTAATTGTCCTGCTCCCAGGGGCCCTGGCCGCCCACGGCCACCCGAGCACAGGGTCCGGGGGGCCCTGGGGTGCTCTAGGAGGGGACATGGTGCAGCGGCGTCAGTCAGCAGGCATCGTGGTGTGGTTTGGTTGCGGTGGTCCCCGTCTGGGAGCTTGCCTCAGTGTCCCTTAGGGCTTTGTGCATGGGCACGGGAGGGAGGGGGAGAAAGAAGGTGGCTTGCATAGTCTGTGAGACCACCCAGGCCACCTCTGTTCTCCCCACTCCAGCAGGCGTTTGCAAACAGAACCCTATCCCACAGCCATGATCCACGCGCCTTGCGTCCTCTCCCTGTATCCATCCAGTTCCTGGCTTTGTGCAGGACAGCCTGGAGGCAGCTCAGGCAGACACATAGCAGCAGGTCCCTTTTGGGGGTGCAGGGTGCCCGTGGGGTGCCATGGGGCCATGTGAGCCTCACCTGCCAGAGGAGGGCACAGTGCTGCCTCTGTCTCAGTTTGCCCATTTCCCAGGCACAGGATATTGAAGCTGCAGATCTGGGGGTGGGGTTTAGCTGGGCTTCCCCCCTTTCTGAAGACCACCATGTCCCACAGGCTCATCTCTCCCTCCCGCCATGGCATCACCGGACGGAGCCAGTGGCGTGGGCGGCAGTCCCGAGGAGACAGAGCTCAGCATCACCCTGACCCTCCGCATGCTCATGCACGGCAAGGTAATGGCAGGGGGCCACTGAGGGGTCAGCAGTGCCTAGGGTGAGGGGCCATGCTGCAGCTCCAGCTCCTCACCATGCCCTGTTTTCTGTGCCCTGTTTTCTTTCCATGCTCCCAGTCTCCCCTGGGAACAGCATTCCCAGAAGGATTTCTGTCCCCATCCTAAACCAGGGAGGGGCACATTCCCATGCCCCTGTGTCACTAGTTAAGTCACTCAGTGTCCCTGGGGCAGGGTCTGTCTGTCTGTCTGTTGCCAGGCTGTGGGCAGAGGAGGGATGTGGCATGCAGGGAGCCATCTCCTGACAGTGCCACTCTTCTCTGCCTTTTCAGGAGATTGGCAGCATCATCGGCAAGGTAAGATTTGGGGTCCTCTGTGTTGCCAGCACTTGGCTCCCCTAGACCTGACCACCCACCCTGTTTCTTTACCTGCAGAAAGGAGAGACTGTTAAGAGGATACGAGAGCAGGTAAGGGCATGCTGGTGGGCTGCCAGGTCCTTCTGCCTCTCATGCCTGTACCTGGCTGCTCCCATGTGCCTGCCCCCCCTAAATCCCAGGTGGAACCAGGGAAAACAAAGCAGCACCCCAGGGAAGGCTGCCTGGGGCAGGTGGGAAGGGCAAGGCTCAGGCTCGAAGGCATCAGTCTTCCCCATGAGGCTATCCCTGGGGGAAGTCATGAAGCACAGGGCTTGTGGTGTCCCTAACGGGGTGTGACACTGTCCCCAGAGCACTGCACGCATCACTATCTCGGAAGGGTCCTGCCCCGAGCGCATCACCACGATCACCGGCTCCACCGACGCTGTCTTCCGCGCTGTCTCCATGATCGCCTTCAAGCTGGAGGAGGTAGACAGCCCTCCTAAATCCCTGCCAGGTGCCCCCACACCTGCGGGATCCTGGGGGTCTGATGCTGCATCCCACATCCCTCACAGGACCTGGGAGCAGGGGGCGATGGGGTGTCAGCAGGCAGAGCACCGGTGACCCTGCGCCTTGTCATCCCTGCCAGTCAATGCGGTTCCCTCATCGGCAAGGCAGGAGCTAAGATCCGGGAGATCCGGGAGGTGAGGCTGAGGGTAGCCTGCATGTGGGATCCCCTTTTCCCCTGGGGACACAGAGCCCTGGGTCTGTAGGCTGCACAGTCCCACAGGGGCTGCGGGAGGTGATGCAGGAGAGGGAGCATCACCCTGCAGGTCCTGCAATGGTCCCTGGGGGCTCAGGAGGGGGACAAGGGAGGTATGAGGTGCTGAGCCCTGGCAGGGAGTGGTTGGGGAATGCCAGCATCTCTCTCTGCTTCCTGCAGAGCACAGGGGCACAGGTGCAGGTGGCTGGTGACTTGCTGCCCAACTCCACTGAACGGGCTGTCACGGTCTCGGGGGTGCCAGACACCATCATCCAGTGCGTGAGGCAGATCTGCGCTGTCATCCTGGAGGTACCTGCCAAGCCCTTTGCCCAGCCCAGGAGGCATCTGCTACCCACCTCCCCCTCCCCAAGGCTTCCCTTGCTCATCTGGACCCAAACACCAGGGTTCCCCTGTGTGGAGACCCATAGGACCACCCTGCCTACATAGTGCTGGGGGCTGTGCTCGGCTTGCTGGGGGCATAGGGGGCAGAGGGTCCTTGGGGCTACAGGGGCTTTCAGCTTCATCTCTCATCTCCTCCACCTCCTTCCTTCTGTCTCCAGTCGCCTCCGAAGGGGGCCACCATACCCTACCACCCTGGTCTCTCCCTGGGCACCATCCTGCTCTCTGCCAATCAGGTAAGAGGCCACAGCATCTCCAAGGACATGAGGTGGCCAGGAGGGCAGCCTCTACCAGCAAGGGGCAACTCTGGTGGGCTCAGGGTAGTCTCTCTGCCTCAGGGGGGAGTGACCTGAGACAATGGTTCCCACCTGGCTCCCCACTGATGCCCCATTTTTCTCTCCCCAGGGCTTCTCCATGCAGGGCCAGTATAGCGGGGTCTCTCCTGCAGAGGTGAGTTTGTCCACGTGGCAATGGGGTCTGTGCCCACCAGGATGGGTGCTGCTGGGAATGCCTGTCTTGGGGGGCACTGGGGCACAGCTGACCTCTGCCATCACCCCTAACACCACCTTCCTCCTCTTCGCACTGTCTGGGCAGGTGACGAAGCTGCAGCAGCTGTCAGGGCATGCGCTTCCCTTCGCCCCCCTGGGCCATGCACCCACCATGGTGCCAGGTGAGCATCTCCTATGCTCCCCCGAGGCTGGGTGTGCCCCTTCTGATCCACCCTGATGCCTGGCCCTGATGAAGGGGTTTCCCTCCTCTGCACCCCTTCCAGTCCCAGCCCCCCCAGCATGTCTACCTGCCCCTCCAGCACAACCTTGTCATTGTTTTCCTGGAGTCACTGCACCCACCAGTGCTCCCCAGTCCTGCAGTGGGAGAGCTCCAGCACCAAATCATGACTTGTGTCTATGTCCTGTCCTCCCTTCCTCTCCCCAGCAATCCCTCAGGTTTGTCCCCAGAGTCACTCACCATCCCTGTACGGGGCTGGGGTAGGGGCTACTGAAGAGCTGCCCCTTCATTGCTGACATCCCTGTCTCTCTCTCCAGGTCTGGATGCCAGCTCCCAGAGCAGCTCCCAGGAGTTCCTGGTGCCCAATGACGTACGTATTGGTCTGGGAATGACGAGGGGGACCACAGCTTGTCCCCACCCATGTGGCACTTTGCAGATGCCAGCACCCACTGACCCACACAGTGGAGGCTGCTCCTGGCTCAGCCCATCCCTGCCCTTTCAGCTCATCGGCTGCATCATCGGCCGGCACGGCAGCAAGATCAGCGAGATCAGGCAGATGTCGGGTGCCCACATCAAGATTGGCAACCAGACTGAGGGCTCCAGTGAGCGGCACGTGACCATCACAGGGACCCCTGTCAGCATCACCCTGGCCCAGTACCTCATCACAGCCTGGTAGGTGTCAGCCTGAGGGGGACTCATGCTGGGTGTTAGTGAGGCTCTTCTCCAGCACCTCAAGGCAGCTTTTGGAGGATCCACAGCATCCTCAAGAAGAATGAGGTGGTGCTTTCACATCCTGAGGTGGTAGGTGCAAGACCCATGACTCACCAGATTTGAGGCCCAGTTTTTTAACCCACGGATACATGTGCCAAAAGGGATGGGGTGCACAGTTCCTGCACCCTAAGCTTGTAGTGGGACAACCACTCTGTCATCATGGTACTCACCATCATCCTTCTCTCTTTCTTCCCCAGCTTAGAGACTGCTAAATCTACCTCCCAGGTGCCACCAGGCCCTGGCTCCATGGACCTCGGCATGGGCTTCTCCCAGCCCCTCGCCCCAGGCTCCGGTGCGGCTCTTCCTGCCGTCGCCCCAGCCCCCCCGGCCCTGCTGGGCACCCCCTACGCCATCTCCCTCTCCAACTTCATCGGCCTGAAGCCGGTGTCCTTCCTGGCACTGTCCCCATCCTCCGTAGCAGGTCCCAATGGTGGCACCACCACCTACACGACCAAGATCTCGGCAGCCAATGGCACCAAGAAAGCTGACCGGCAGAAGTTCTCGCCCTACTGAACCCCACTGGTGGCTGGACCAGGGGGTCCAGGGTGTTACACAGTAGCAGGGACACCTTCCTGCCACCCACCCTGACCTCAGCCTCTGCCAGGTGCCCCGTGCCCCCCACCCCAGGGAAGGAAAGGGTCTTCTTGGTGGTGATGCCTGCTGGAGGAAGGGGCTGTTTTGTTGCCTGCTGTCCATCCCAGCAGCTCTGTGCCCTCCTGCCTGATTTTCTGCACAGAGACCATGTGTCCTAGTATTGGGTGGGGGGGCTGTCCCTGCTGGCCTAGGGTCCCTTCTCCCAGTGCCCTGTGCTGGTGTGGGACCCCTACTTCCTGCTCCTCACCCTGCCTCCCCTGCCATCCTGCTCATGCCCACACTCCATCTGGCACCCAAAAGCCAGGTCCCACTGGATGAGGACTGCCTGGCCTCTCCAGGAGTCCTGCTTCCACTGGCTCTGGTGGGGGCCCTCCCTGGGCCACCCTGGGGCAATCGCCTCCCAGCAACCCCATCCAAGAGCCAGTCCCTGCTGGCTTGGAAATGCTGTATATATATGAGTCTATATTTTTTCCTCCTTTGTAACTTATCAATGGTTTAATAAAAAGATAAAATTTACAAGAAAATAGCAATAATAATAATATTCCCCACCCTGGGTGGAGACTTCCCCCAGAGCAGGGGTGGTCCCAGCTCCTGGGTACTTGGGTGGTGGCTGGAAGGGCATCCCTGTGTCTAGGGGGGGGATGCTGGCCTTCAGCCCCATCTCTCTGGGGGTCTTCCTGGAGCCCCTCCCTGCCACAGGGCAGTTAGAGAGGCCATGGGGCAGTTTTCCCTCAGGTCTTCAGTTACTGCTGGAGTAGAACATCTCCAACCCACCATGCCAACACCATCCTGCCTTTGTGGGCAGGCAGAGGGTGATGGACCCCTGCAGCATTACCCAAAAGGGTCCAGTCCCCTTTCTAGCAGTGGGGACCCTATGAGAGTCACCAAGCCCTTCAAAAGCAATGAGACAGAAGAGGAACAGCAGGTCCTGATCCCCTCTGGCTGCTGCTGCCCTGGGGCAGCCCTCACAGCCACCCCCCACCACCCTGTGTCACCATGTCCAACCCAGCGTGCCCTTGGCTAGCAGCCCAAGTTGGCTGGCACATGGCACTGCTGACCAGGCTTCAAACTGGGCAGCTGTATCCATAAACAGCCTGGCACAGACCCCCAGAGAGCCAGTTCCCCCCAGGGTGGTGATCACTGCCAGCTGAGAGGGACAGAGGGCATGGCCACTGGCATTGCATGCTGCCATGCCAGCAGGACAAACAGTGACACAGCCAGAGCCAGCCCTGTGGGTGTGTCCCCCTGATCAGTGTCACAGAGAGCAGAAGCTCCTCCAAACAGACATTAGTTTTGGGTTAAACAGCCAAGGATGGAAGTCTCCATCCTGCCATCCAGGCTCAGCAGGGGCTCGGGGCCCTGGTGTTACTGGTGTTAGTGGCATTAGCTGGAACATTGCTCCTGGATAGAGTGCAAGGGACATCGGCCCTTCCCCGCTGGCCAGGCGTGCTCCACTGGGGCAGTGGAGATGGAGGGGTCCCGTCCCCTGCCCCTACACACTCCAGGTCTTGAGGAGAGCCCATCCCTGGAACTGGGCTGTGCTGGTGGAGCCAGAGACAATTCCAGCCTGCAGAAGAGAGACGTGACTTCCTCAGATCTGCTACCTTCTCCCAGCGGAGACACCATCTTTTACCGTAAGCTCAGAGAAGAGGTAAAACCTGCACAAGGACTCCTCCAAATCCAAGAGATTTGGTCCAGGCAGGTCTGATGGGTCCCTGGAGGTCTCTTGCCCAGCACAGTGGGACAGAGCCTCCTTCTCAGCTGTTCTCTTCGGGAACTTGACCTGGGGTGGGGAAGCCCGTTGTGGTCTGGTCCAGCCTGTTCCTGGGGCTGGGGCTGATGCAGCTGGTGTGGGTCTCCAGTGTGCAAGTTGCTCTCTGGAGGAACTGCAAGAAGTTTTCCTGAACAGAAGCCTCTGAGATGGAAAGACAGAGCTCCTGACCAAGTTGATGGTTAAGACAGCTGCGCCGGAGCCGGGCCAGCTCCTCACGGATTTGGCGGTTCAGCAACCCGTAGAAGAAAGGATTAACGGCAAAGGAGGAGTAGGCAATCCAGCTGACCACCATCTCCCCATGCCCACCACCCACAGTGCCAACAGTGACAGAGGAGTGCAAGTGGAAAGCAAAGAAAGGCAGCCAGCAGCACAAGAATTGTCCCACAATGAGGACCAAGGTGAGGATGGCCTTGTTGCTTCCTAGAAGGCGATCTGGGATCAGCCTGGGCAGCATCAGGATCCTGGCAGTGAGGATGGTCACTTGGCTGGCAATGGAGTCACATCGGTGTCTGGGTGCAACTGCCTGTGCTGGCACAGGTGCCTGCTGCAGGGACGCAGTCCGGGCCACGCGGTAGATGCTGGAGTAGACAGCGAGGATGATGATGGTGGGCAGAATAAAGCAGGTGATGCTGAAGAGGATCACAAAAACCTTCTTGTGGGCCCCAGGGCTCCAGTAGACTGTGCAGCGGCTGGCACTGGTGGCCCCATTGCCATGAGGCCATGCCACTAGTGCCAAGACAGTGATGAGAACAGACTTGACCCAAATGAAAACCACTCCAGCCACGGCCAGCCTGATGGTCATCTTGACCTCATACCTCAAGGGGTGGACGATGTAATAGTACCGCTCCACACTGATGATACAGATGGTGAGAATGGAGGCACTGATGAAGCAGATGTTCAGGAATATCACGGCCTTGCACTCAGCAATGCTGTAGATAACCCAGTTGAAACAGGAGGAGCTGGAGATGATCCCCAGGGGCATGAGGAAAATGGCTGAGAGGAGATTGACCACACAGAGGTGGCAGACAAAGATGAACTTCCTGAAAAGGGGCGTTTTGAGGATGATGACCATCACCACGATGTTGGCCACCAGGGCGGTGAGGGTGAGCAGGATCATGCAGAAGAGGCCCACCACCTCCTGGCCAATGGAGTGCACGGGGATGGTGAGCAGCTCTAGGCTGTCCGTGGTGTTTGACCCCGTCCAGCTCGGCATCCCCCTCCAGGCTAAGCCAGCAACTCTGGTGCCTGGGCAGCAAGGGCTCTTCTCCTGTGTCCCAGAGAGGGTAACCCCACCACAACCATGGCTGGTACCTTCTTCTTGCCTGTTGGGATCAGGAGCCAGGTGTGAAGGGAACGAACCAAAATGGAGAAGAGCCATAGAGAAACACAGAGACAACTAGCACACTTCCAAGGTGCTGAAGGAGGGAGAGGTAGCCAGTGAAGTCGTATCACCCTGGCTCTCCCAGAACTGCCACCCAGGCTGTTCCCAGTCTGGCCAGGGATAGCATAGCTGGGTCCCGTGGGCACCCATGCCAAGCTGACACCCCATCCCCCCTCTTCAATGGCACCAGTATGTCCTGAGGTGGGACGGCACAACTTGCCCGTCCCAACCCTCTTGCTCTGGCCACAGGGGACCCCAGGGTGGGTGGGATTCAGCGCACCTTTGCTCCTGGGGAGGTGGGTGATGCTCCTCTCCTCACTGGGGTCCTGCTTGCTGGTGTTGCTCCCGCAGCAGAACCGGGGCTGCCGGCCCTGTGTGAGGCCACGCTCGCCCTTCCCCGCTCCCGTCACCCGCTCGTCATCCTGTTTGCCTGCAGCCTGCCAGCTGCGGATGGCACCAGCTGTCACTCCCGGCGCTGCCTGCACCCGTGGCAGTCCCACGGGGACAGCTGCTGGGTCCTAGCAGCCGGCGGGGGCTCAGGGAGGGGGGATCGGGGTTCCTGAGCCCTGTGCCCCCCCAGAATGGCCAGCCACTGCACCAAGGCTGGTCCTTCCACAGGAACACCTCAGCCCTCAAGTTCCTTGGGCTCAAGGGACAGAGCTACAGGCAGGTCTGCAGCAAATCATCACCACTGGCACAGGGTATCAGGGTAACTGATACCCGGGGCATCAGGGTAACACAGCTGGGAGCTGCCCTTCCCTGGCAGCCTGAGCAGCCGGACATGTGCTCAAGGGGCACACGTGACCGCAGAGAAGGGCTTGGCATGGGTGCCAGGCTGGGGCAGGACAGCAGACATGGCATGAGGATGGCACTAGAGGGAGGGCAGGCACTCGCCCTCAGGATGGATGGATGAATTCCTTAGTGCCCAAGAACAGCAGCAGATCTTGCTTATCCTCTGCTGCTCTGATGCCACAGGGTGGGCATGAGCCGTGTGCCTTGCTAAGGTGATGAGAGCAGCTGGCTCTCAAAGACACCAGCTTTCATCTGAAGGCTTCAGCCCCTCAAGAGTCACCCATGCCATCCCTTTAGGGACCCACTGACACCCTTCCCCTACAGCACACACGCCTTGCTGGGCAGGAAAGTGAGAGCACCACGCGGTGCAAGGCACAGTGCTTTTATTCACAGTCAAAGCAAGCTCAGTCCCCATGCCAGCCTGTCGCTTGCCAAGCCCCAGGTGGGGTGGCCAGAGTCCAGATCACTGTGCTCTGGGCTGGTGGGTGTCACCTCCTGGTGCTGGGCCAGGGCCGTGGTGCTCCCAGGCACCCTCAGAAGCGGAGCTGGACAAGGTAGCGGATCCGGCACTGGCTTTCCTTGTAGATGAGGTACTCGCTCTGGCTGAAGGAGGAGTCCTTGTAGGCGGGCATGGGGATGGGCTTGCCCTGGCACACCAGCACCTTCTTGCCATCCAGCAGCACCTCCTCATCCTGTGCAGGATCTGGGCCAGAAGACACCCCAGCACCACATGAAACCTGAGATCTGGCCTCTCTCCCCCCTGCCCTGTGTGCAGCACAGCCCCAGAGCTGCCACAGCCCTCCTGCCCCCAGCTCACCTGGCTCTGTCCGGCCACAGGCCAGGACACTGTCATAGCCAGCAGGTGGCTGACACAGCGTGGGGTCATCGCAGGTGATGCGGTAGGGCTTGCCCAGGGCCACCTCCGTCAGGAACATGATGCCAACATTCTTAGATGTACAGCCCACTGCCATGGGAGAAACGGATGGGAATGATAGCACCATCCCTGGTACTCCCATCTGGTTGTGCCCAGGCCACGCTGGAGCACAAGGACCAATCACCATGGCAAGGAAGGGGCTCGGCAGGCCCACAGCTGCCTGGCAGAGGGTATGCAAAGGCAGCCAGGCTCACACAGAGCCTGTGGGCATCACAAGCAGCCCAGCCCATCCCAGGACCCTCACCATAGCAGGCTGATTTGCTGTTCTCTGAGGCAAAGTAGATGCCCTTGCCCACGCGCCCGCCGGAGTGGGGCATGATGCGCAGCCCGCTCTTCAGGATGGCCGCCACCACTGCCACGTTGGTGCCATGCCACAGCAGGCGCCGGTGCTCCAGGAGGTCATGGGCCTTGAAACGCTCATCCTGGAGAGATGCACAGCTAAAGGCTGTCCACAGAGGGACACATGGGTGCCCAGGGGTGGAAGACTGCTACCCACCTCCCCAGTCCAGTCCCAGTGCCTGGCTGGAGGGGCAGGAGACTGGGTGTCTGTTTGGCCCT